GTGTGTGTGTGTGTGTGTGTGTGTGTGTGTGTGTGTGTGTGTGTGTGTGTGTGTGTGTGTGTGTGTGTGTGTGTATGTGTGAGAGGAAGAGAGAGAGAGACGAGAGGCAAGTGAGGGTGTCTCGTTTCGCGTGGCTGTTCAAATTGAAGCACGCGGGGCTTACTGCATTTAATGTACATTTCGTGTCCGAGTTACCTCAACACTAAAAACGTCCAAAATCAAACGAGTATAATCAATTATGTTAAATCTAACAGATAAGTGCGTGCTTAATCAACAACCCGTCTAATTAACACAATATATACGCCGCTGAAGTTTAGCTAAATTTTTGGAAACTTTTTTCCTTTTTATTTTGTATTTAGATACATGACAAAATCGAGTAATATAAATAAGAACATGTTCACAATACTATGCGTGCCGTGGCAGTTATCAGTGATATTTAGAATAAAGAGTATGGCTTAGAATACATATTAAAATTATACATATGTATTAGATACGTGGCATATATGTGCATATAAACGCACCTATAAGTAAAGGTTGTTAATGCTTATTGTTGTATGCGATTGGCCACCAGCAAAAACACATAAGCATTAACAACTATTACTTAACATTTATTAATCTAACATCTCCAAACATGCAACATGTCGAACAACTCCCGTTTACTGAAATGCAAGCTATTTATGTACTTTCTGATTGGCATGCATCTGCCTTTATATAATGGAAAGCACTCAATAAGAAAAAATGTCGGTTTGATATGCACAACGTATAGCTTTGCGACACTGTTTTTACATTAAAAAACAATGCCCATAGAATCCAACTCGCTCCAATACTATATATTGAATATATGCTATCTACACATTAATCGTAAGATATTGCAAATAATTTTAGGCAAACTCATATTATTTTGACTCGAGCATTGCATTGAAGTGCTCTCAGACACATAGAGGCTGCCATTTGCACGTGATACGAGTACGCAAAGGTATTGGCGTTAAAATAACGTTGATTCGCGTCTGTGCGCCCGCAAGGCATTGCCTAATATAGCAACATGTGCTGCGAGCTATAACCGTCAAAACAGCACGCAAGGCGGTCATTATCAATCACCAGAAGGCGGAGTTAGGGGCTAAGCAGAGACTGGCTGAGAGCTCGTAACCCTAGATCGCGCATTTTTTGCAAACTAAGTCTGGCATTTACCTTGTGTGGGTTTGCTAGCGAGTGAGTTTACTAACAGGCCATTGGGTCGTTTAAATGATACAGTGACGATTAATACACACGACTTGTAATAATTATTACTACCAATGTTATGTTTCTACAGAAGCATTTGCGCCACATTTATCTAGAATTATTAAGCGTTAGACAGTACACAACATTGAGACTTTGGTAGTAACTTCACTCTGGGTTTATTTACCATTTATACCATTTTAAATGGGAAATTTGAAAAAAATTTAAAATGATCAATCAAGATGACACCCGTTTTTAAAATTTTGTATAGAACACATAATTAATACATTATATAAATTAAATATATATATATATTATTGGACTATTTTTGCGGACTATCTGTCTCATCGATAAAAACAGTTATGTATGGAAAATTCTACGACTAAAATAATAGTATCATTAGTAAATGAGCCGTACAGCAGCTGTATATGGTAACAGGCCCCGCGATTACTTAGATGGCTTTACTAGAACAGACATTGTGTGGCGATGAGCACAACAGCGGCCACCAACTCAAACACTGACAGGTGGCGCTGCGCGCCGTTTACCACAGCGAACAGCCGCGTGGGGGCGCCAGTGCCGCCACGGATGTTCATCGGGATAGCGTAGATTCTCGTGCCCGTCGGCGGCATCGCATCCAGGTTGGCGACGTTCTCAAGGGACGGGATCTCGTGTTCGGGACTCAGGAAGATCTTGTGCACGGGAAACGTCGACGCGGCTCCGGGGTCGATTCCCACGCAGTCAACACCATAGACGCTAATGCTCCTGCTGTCCACCAACCATTGAGCCGCATGCTCGGAGAGCCCCGGCCAACTATAGTCGGACTTAAAGGGATTATTTTCGTCCGGTGTCGTGCCGAGGTAATCCACTTCATTTGGCCAGCGTCGGTGCCAGCCTGTGTTCAGCAAAAGCACGGCTCCATCTGGGATGCGGCCATAGTCAGCTTCCCAGTCCTATTAAACACAGACGCGAGCATATAGGAAATCAATGCGGACCTTTGGAATAAGTCTACAAGATATATATCACAGTCTATACCACTCTATAAGACATATATCTCAGTCTATATCAGTCTATAATATTGTTGTACTGGGGTTTTAAAGGTTGATAGCTTCATGATCTTGTAGAATCGTGGCAGAGTAGAGATACTAGCACTTGCCGTAGTATGCAACGTGCACGAGAGCTTGCAGCAGTCGTAGAGATGTAGAGTGAGACATGTTAGATACGATATATAACGATAGTGACTTTATTTGCAAACTTATATAGACATATATATATATATATATATATATATATATATATATATATATATACTAAATATATATATAATGCCGCCTCAGCTACAGACCCTACTAGAACTATATCTTGACTTCCGTTCCTTAGGGCTGTTGTCAGAAAACATCGTAAAGTTAATGCTAATGTTAATGCTAAGATAACACTTACGACTAATGTTAATGTTACGAGAGAGCGTTGACAGAAACACATCGCAGCTATTAGAAAACTTACGATAACAGGAACTTCATCACAAGGCTGCTGATTGGATGAGAATCAATCACAAAATTTAAATTCATATAACTAATGGCTAACATTAACACTAACCAACTGGCTAACCACATATAAATAGTATTGGATGAAAAACGACGCGGTCATGAATTTTTTCTGAACAACAAGACAAATTTTCCCACTGTAACACGAGACGCGAGAGTTGTGGCAAGCGTGGCAAACATTTCAAACAAGAAAACAAATGCCATACGCCATTTGTAAATGTTTTGTTTTGTTTTATGATCGGTAGATAATTAATGATTTTGACGTGTTTTCAAGAAAAACACACATTTTTATTCATTATTATAAAATATAATATCACTATAATTGTAATTCGTAGTGTAAATGTGTTATTTTCAACTTAATATTAATGTTACAAGAGGGGCTGGGCCCTCGTAATGTTAAGAGGATATTTTCGAGGATTTTTAATTCTCGTAACTTTGCGATTTCTGTCAACGGTTTACGAGTGGAAGTTAATGTTAAGACTAATTTTGTTTCTGACAACGGGCCCCTGGTTCTCTGTCCGTCCCGTCTCTCCGCATCGATCTGTCTTACTGTCTGCCTTGTTCTCTCCTTTCAATTATATACTGACTCATCTATCTTGTTTCAAGGCCAGGTCGGAAGGTCACAGGACCGGGTATCAATAGCTGGATATTCTGGCATCACTTGATGTGCTATTATTTTTTATATTTGGGCTCGCGTGGGGCACGCCGGTTTAATTAGCCGCATGCTTCTACGCCAGCTAGCGTTCAATAAGATATCTATCGCAATTCATATCGTGTTTAATAAGCGATCTGCGTACGCAGTTAATAAACGTTTAAAAAACGGGTTGACAATATTTTTTTGTGACTCGGCGTTGACTTCACTAAAAATTCTGCTCATAGTAAACAATTTTATTGGGAAAGATACGGCCAATTAAACTATCGGCATTACCGTAGGGCAAAGAAACGACCAGAAAACGCAAAACAACGAACAGCTGCATCATGAATCGCTTTTGCACGCTACCTCGCGCATAACGCATAGTACATGCATGTGGCTTAGAAAGTGAGTGTTTATCTAGGTTCTATGGGTTATTTTCAGCTTAATTTAGGTGATAAATTACGCTACATAAAAAGTTTCAATGGTTAATCACCCAATTATGAAATGTTTTTTTAATGTTTAGAAAAACTAACGGCTACAGTTTGATTCCAACGAACGGTGGCGGCCCACTCAAAGCGCACGAATCTGAATAAGTTGCGCAAAATCCACTTTCCAGCAAGGTCTACAGACCGAGGTGTTCTTATTATTCATTTAAAAGCAAAAGATTGTAATCTTTTTTTTCGCCCCTTTTTAATAAAACGACATATAGTTTCAGTTATAATATTGGATTAAATTTGCCCTAAAATAATTAATCGTTTGGTTAAAAAAAAAAAAAAAAATAAGCATTTAGTATAAATATAATTTGCACTTTTGTGATAGCCACTTCGTCAGTAATAACGAGCAAAATAAATGGTCAACATATGCAATCTTTTTTCAGGGTAGCAGCACGGTCGCGGGTATCATGGCGCCGTGTTTAAATTTTCGGTAGCGTTGATGTGTAATTAATTATAACAATTAAATAGGGATTCTGGTAAGCAAAATACGTGTGGGTATAACGATACTGTTATACAGTAAGTACAGTTGTATGCAGTAAATCCTAGAGGCTACTGTCCTACTTAGAGATATGTTTGTTTTAAGGTAGCAAGCAGTGATGACGATGATGTAGACTAGGGAAAAATAGGTAGCAAATATTTTTTCTTACCAGGATGTCCTGCACGGTGACCTCGTAGTTTCGGTTCATTTCAGCCTTTCTGGACAACGGTCGATGACCGGCTCGCAGGACCAATCATGGTCTTCAGCGGCTATGCTCGTCAACGCTTTGTCGCATGCTCGTACGTAAATGCAGAGGTGCGTTCGATATGTGCGTACCCCGATGCTCGCTCGTAACAAGCGAAGCGTTTCAGTCATCGTAATATACGCCACTTGGCCTCTACCCTAAACGCCCCCCCGGCAACGCTGATTGTTAAACTTAGAGCCAGTCGGCCACGTCACATTGTTTGGTGTTCGCGTATTTGTGCTGATAGGTCGTTAATAGTCCCTCGCTACCTCGCAGCCTACGCTCCGGTCAATATGGCGGCAGCGAAGACCTACCGTTGTGCTATCAAAGAACGTCGATAATTAGGGCGGCAGCCCAATCGTTTCGTTGCTGGTAACAAAATATAAGAAAACAAAAAGCGATTAAAATACTCATATCGACAATCCATTTGTATATCCACAACTAGCTAATCATAACGCCATGTCTATATCACGAACAACCACGCGTTTGCATAAACACACCTCGTGTCGGACTAACGGGACGTATGTAGCGCACCGCTCCTACGGGCGAGTCCCGGCAGAATGGTAGGTTGCAGGGGCGTCGAGAATGACACCTGCAGAGTGGCTGTCCCGAGCCTACCCACGGAATATCTTCGAAATTGTTCCCCTCAGATCTTTAGGCGCTGCGCCTACCTATTTAACCTTGGGTCTAACTATCGACCGGTAACGACCTGCGGACGGTGCCAGCGTACAAGTGAGAACCAACCAACAATACCATGTATCCCAACTCCAGAAGTATGTAGTTATCACATTTATTATGATAAGCATAATAATACATATCCAAGTCGTACGACTATATCGGTATGCAAAAATTAATAATACACGAACCCTATGTAACGTTCAAGTACATAGGATGTAGCACCGAGCAGCGCAATAGGAGACAACTTCCGCAGTATCTCTCTCAGTATTAATAGGCTATATATATATAAGTATATATGAGTATCAACGACAGAATCTAACGCTGGAGCTCGCACTGGAGCCGTCACTGAGGCCGTCCTGGAGCCGCACTGAGGCTAGTATCTGGAGCCGTCACTCGGACTATCACTGGAGCCTATCACTCGCTCCAGCACCCGCTCCCTAGTACCAGTGCACCATACAAGCAAGGAGTCCTCAGTCCCAGCGCACCATCGGTCTCCAGCCCTCAGGAGAACCAGAGGCTCTTACTGCGAAACTATACCTCCAGTAACAAACAACCTGACTAAGCCACACGCAACCTGGCTGGCTATCCCGTAGAACTCTATATTTTAGCGATCTCAACTCTCTCTCCCAACCGGACGTGTACAGGAGAATCGACACCAATCTCCAGATCCAGGCAGAGGATGCTACTCCTAGTCCATCAAGAGAAGTGGCTTACACCCTTCGGTTGCTTCGCGACCACAACTGAGTTCTCTCTCCCTCGTTCGGCTGGCTTTTATACAGTAACAGTCCATCGCGCCAGTGAACACACCACCGCCCCCCGCTCCCGGCCCTAGAACTACATACACTATCTTACGTCACATGACAACACAGTCGACTCGCATTTACTTTACTAATTAGCGGCGACCAAATAGTTCCTCTTTACAAATACAATTAAATAGGAACGGTCTATTATAAAAGTATAATTCTCTTTGTTACTCCCTTAACTCGTCATATATTTATTAAGTATAATACAATTATAAAATAGAAAATGAATGTAGCAGGCAGATTCTAAGTTAACAACTGGAATTACCGGATTTAATGCACAACCAAAGATGGGCAGCGCTTTATTATGAACATGCGTGAATAACTTCTTTCTTCCAAATAACACATCGGCAAGCCCGAAATCCACACTGCGCCTTCGTTAAAACACGACCTGTCCTCAGGTGGGGAAGACGTAATGAAAGCTATATCATCTCATATATATCTATTTCCGGGAGATGACAATGCCCCTTTAATACTGATATAAATATGGCCTGTACAGCGAAGGCAATATACAAAGACACATGAGTAAACTCATATCCATCATAACAATAATTCTCTCCAAAAGTATAATATTTTATACCTGCATCTCAGTTCCACGTAAAATATTCGCATTTATATTGAACTAAAAAACGACTTATAGAATATTTCCATACTGAGCAACTTGACATACAATGGGAATAGTGTGTAGTTAAAATGCTAACCATTAAATTCACATGATACCCAAGATCAAGTATAGACCGCTCCCCACCACCCAAGGTGATCATCCTTTTAACCACCACAGACCAGGCTGGCGCTCACCAGGAGAACATCCTCTGGTTAACTACAACCACAGGTGGCCTCCCATCCACGGAGACACATCCTCCCACCTTCAAGTGGACCCTCTCTCAATCCTTCTTTGCTTCTTCGCACTCCTCCGTTGTCATCGATCAGAACCTCGCTGTCAGACGAGGATGATGAGGCTGGAACTGGAGCTTTTGCAGATCCCTTCTGGGGCCTTGGTTTGGTCGCTGATAGTCCACTCTCCCCGTCTAGTCTGCTCCAAAGGCATAATATCTATGGGAATTCCTCTCAAAGAAGCACGCAGGTGTCCTACCTCAGAAGTGCCTTGCCCTGGGTGCCTTTTCCTGTTCCTCTTCGCAACGCAGTGCAGTATCGGCACGCAGCGCCCTACTATCCGCCCTGGTATCTTGGCGCAATAGTATAATGACGCCAGTAATCGAGCCTGCTCATCATAGTCCTCTGCTGTCTAATTACCGTTAGGTGCGCCCCTCTAAGAACACCATCTGCCCCCTCGGTCTGGAACTCTACCCAGCAGACCTTGTCCGACGTTCCACAGCCTCATGGCCTCAAACAGAGTTGTCACTCAGCCGCATGATGGCGCACATCATCTGCAATAAGAATCGGAACTTAGCACAACACATTCTTGACACCATCTGCATCACCCATGCTGCTTTCCGGCCTGATGTTCTGCTGAATCCTACCGTCATCGAACTGAAAGCCACCTTGAACATACCTTCTGGCTCTCTTGAAACTTTACCAGCCAAGTTTAAGGACGAACGTTCAGTTCGCTACCTAAAATGCCGACCAGAGATAATGGCATACTGTCTTCGCAAAC